TAATATTAGAATAATTATTAATATTAGTATCAATATGTGAAAAAACAAAAACATAATTGACCCTAAACGTTTGACTTTAGATGACCTCAAAGCTAACAGACATTGACTAAAAGCCACAAAAGTTTAAATCTGATGTCATGTGGTGTTTAAAAACCGGAGTGGACCTGTACAGATGTACCTGGCTCAGGTTGAGAGGCTGAGATCTGTTTGATGCCGCTCTCTGATGCCGGTCGCTGGACTGTGAGGCCGTTCCTTTCTTCGATTTTCCAGAGCTATTAGTACGTTGCTCTAGAGGTACAGAAAAAAGATCTTAAAGGGTTAGTTCACCAAAAAATTAAAATTAGCCCCTAAATTACTCACCCTCAAGTCATCCTAGGTGTATATGACTTTCTTCTTTCAGACGAATCCAGTCGGAGTTATGTTAAAAATTGTCTTTGATCTTTCAAGCTGTTTCATGGCACTCAGCGGGTGTTGCATGCATCCGTCCAAAAGCAGTTAAATAAAATGCAGCCATCCATAAAAAAAAAAAAGTGTCTCGCACGGCTCCGGGGGGTGAACAAAGGCCTTCTGTAGCGAATCGATGCGTTTTTGTAAGAAAAATATCCATATTCAAAATGTAATAATCACTTTAATGTAGCTTGCGCCAACAGTTGTACACAGAAGCAGCTCCGGGCGAATGATGTATGAGGTCAGAGCTGAGCATGCGCCGGTGAGTCTCGTGAAAACCAACGTTTGTTAACAGAAGCAAAGGAAGTAAAGTTTCCTTACTTTAGCAAAGGAAAACCAGTCTCCTCTTGGCTTATATCGAAATCCTCCGACATTCTTCTTTACAAATCCTCGTTTTGTACTTCAAAAAAATGACCATTGTTTTGTTTTGATCTCTCCCCTGCGCTTCCGCGTGTGTCACTTCTGAGCGCCGCATGCGCAAAGCTGACCATACGTCATCCGCCCGGAGCTGCTTCCGTGTACAACTGTGGGCGCAAGCTACATTAAAGTGATTATTACGTTTTGAATATGGATATTTTTCTTACAAAAACGCATCGATTCGATACTGAAAGCCTTTGTTCACCCCCCCCGGAGCCGTTTGAGACACTTTTTTTTAATGGATGGGCGCATTTTATTTAACTGCTTTTGGACTGATGCATGCAACACCCGCTGAGTGGCATTAAACAGCTTGAAAGATCAAAGACCATTTTTAATATAACTCCGACTGGATTCGTCTGAAAGAAGAAAGTCATGGGGTGAGTAATATATGGGCTAATTTTCATTTTTGGGTGAACTAACCCTTTAAAGAGTCAAATCTGTACAAACATGACATTATCATATGACCACTTCCATATGTATATCCATGTCTTTTCAATATTCAACAACTTTCTTTTACGCATTTCACATGCAAAGAGGTGAACCAATCATAACAGAGGTCATTTTCATATAAAAAGTTACAGTAATAGAAAAATCCTGGTTAATTCTAAAATGGTCATTTAAAACTAATTGTGACTGATTTTAGTGTAATGTAAGGATAAAAGAAACTCAGGAAACTCAGATACTTTGATCTCCTGAGAAACAGACAATACACTGGCATCTTCAAGACACCCCACAGAGGGGTGGTGCAGGAAACGCCTCTCTCACATATGCATCAGTGCCTTTTCATCTGCTCCCTCCACTGGATTCACTCAGAATGGTCAATAGTAGAATGTTCTATATGAATGCAAATAAGATTTACAGTCATGTGTGGTATCATTTGAAGAGTCTCAGGGTGAGTGGTACAATGGCCTTAATATTACAAAAGTAGACTAAAAGATAATACAGATCCTAAGAGTTAAGAGATACTTTGATTACTGTAGAGGGTCATTCCATGCAAATTACCTTTTGTTCCCATTGAGGTGTAAACTAGCCACCCAGATACCAATTGTTTGTACATGCCTCCACTTGGGGGATGTTTTATCTTGGTTTTGTATTTAAAGCATTGCAGCAAAAGGGTCGGGGCGATTCTGTAACGAGAAAGCCCGTAGTGTGAAGTGTGTCCACACACTTCACACTATGTATTTTTCTAATACATTTAATGTCAGGTATGCATTTTACTCTTAGATTCGTCTTTGAGAATTTGATGTCTTGTATTGATTTGATATCGTTGAATTGGCTGTGGAGATAATTGGCATAATACATATTTACCTGACTGAT